TACATAATATTCTTTTTTTAAAACAGAAAACTATTGGAAATTTATTTCTGCTCTTAAAGATAACTTTGGGACTAATAGTTTTATACATGTGCTATTGATGAATGAAAGAGGTAGAAAATGCAAGGTCAGACAATTACGTTTGCAAACTCATCCTAGAAAAAGCACTACATGCCTCATTGCTGAATATCACTATGGTCACCTTCGAAGTACTCCCCTTGGGAAGCTATGCACGGACACCAACACCTAGTCCACCCTTCAAAGCAATTTTGAAACTCTTTTTCTGGAATGGCCGCCAGAGCTGTTGTCATATTACCCTTGATGTCCTGAATGTCATCAAAATGTCTTCCTTTCAATATTTCCTTTATCTTCGGGTAAAGAAAGAAGTCACTGGGGACCAGATCAGGTGAGGAGAGAGGGTGTTCCAATACAGTGATTTGTTTACTGACTAAAAATTCCCTCACAGACAGTGCCATGTGAGCTGGTGCATTGTCATGATGCAAGAGCTATGAATTGTTGGCGAAAAGTTCAGGTCATCTAACTTTTTCATGCAGCCTTTTCAGCACTTCCAAATAGTAAACATGGTTAACTGTTTGTCCAGTTGGTACAAATTTATAATGAATAACCCCTCTGATATAAAAAAAGATTAGCAATATAGTTGCAACAAGTTCCCAAACTTAATTGTCAGAATTAGTATACTGTATGCTCTAGAAAATGTTTACATCTTCAGTGAAATACAAAGAATAGCTCCTTTTGTTGGTCAGTAGGATAACCATGTTTGAAACCTCCTGCAGTCATAAATGGCAAAAATAGAACAAAATCCCTAATATGTACATATATATGAGTATGTGTATATATATTCTTTCTCTTCTTCAAATTTCCTATGATATTACACACAGCAATATGATATTTTTAACTTAAACTAAATTGTAAAACATGTACCCATATTCAGACATGAAAAGTGTCTGTCTGGTACAATTTGCAGAAGCACAAAAACAATGGAACTGTGAAGATTTTCATTTAGTGTTTCCTGCTTCAACAACTTGTCACAGATACCTGTGTTTTCCTCCTAACCATATTTTGTTAAATTTTATTTTTGTTTAGGATTATTTGTGCCTTTGAGTTTTTTGTCTGTTTATGTGTTGGTTTTCTTCTTCCAATGCCATAGAAAGCATTTCTAAAGGGATCTTCAAGGCAATGAGAGTTGTCGTGTGGTAATAAGTCCTGTTGCTGAAGCCTCCTGACTAACCCCGTTTCCACCTCTGCCTCCTTTCCTGGGGCGGCCCTGGATTCGGGTCCTCACTTCCCCAGTGACCGCCACAGCCTCCCAAAGCCAGGCCCCTGGGCTCCTTGCTGACCTTCCCTCCGCCCTCCAAGCTACCGCCAAGGGCGTCTTCCTAACGCAAAATCTCACTGTGCCACCCTTCTGTTTACAATCCTTAATTGGCTTTAATTAGCTTTTTACTGCCCTCATGATGAAATCCAAATTCCTTAGAATGCTCAACAATGCTCACTTCATGACCAGGCCCAGGCCTGTCTCTCCAAAGAGGGTACTCACCAGAGTAAATGATTCACATTGTTCAAATGGTTTCTTAACGATGACGACTAATGGGTTCTTTTCTGATCTGACGTTTGAAACTATGCTTCTGTCTTTACCAGGACATTTAAATTTTACCTGTGGTACTTACCTTGTTAGCAAATGGCTCCTAGATGACTTTGGATATGTAGTTGAAAAATATGTCACTAGGTCAAAAAACTGTATTTTTGACAGTGCATTGAACCATTATCTGAAGTCCTATAATTATGCCAAATTATTAAACCAGACCAAACCAAATCCAAAATTTTGCAAAGTTGTTGTGATGATGGTCTTCTTATAGAGATGTTAAGTAATAGATTATCTTGGCTGCGTTTATTGGTACTTGCACACCCATGCATGTACATGCACACAGATCCAAGTCGAAAGAAATTATTGACATAATGGTTTGAAGAGGAAATGTATATACAGGATTAAATTAAACTTTTTCATCACCCTACTGCTTCTTCGGAAAGTCATGGTCTAACTCTGCACTGTCCTATTTGGTACCCACTGGCCGCTGTGGCTATTGAGTGCCTGAAATGTGATTAGTCCAAAATGAGACTAGCTATGAAAAAAGACTGTAAACTAGTTAGTAACTTATATGTTTATTTATGTTGAAATAATAGTTTTATTTATTTGGTTTACTAAAATATATTTCTAAGTTAATTTATTCTCTTCTTACTTTTCTGAATGTAGCTATTAAAAAATTTTAAACTACATATATTTCTTGCATTTGTATCTCACATTATATTTCAGTTAACAATACTGATCTAGGGATCTTCATGGATTCAGTTACTCATTGAAAAAAATAAGATGTTGCAACACGGTAATTTTATTCCCTGAATATCTTTACACTCGCAGATGATGATCCTTTTTTCTCAGAAAATGTGTTGAGCAGTAACATTATATTGAGTATTTTACACAAATTTACTACAGCCTTCTTTCATGCCCTTATGTATAGATAGCCTCATCTGTAGATGAAAATTCACAAATAATTTTCAGGTTGTTGAAGTACTTAATTTACTTCAAGTGTAGATTATATTTATCGGTGATTCATTTATACATAAAAAATTAACACGTTTTCAACTGCTTGTTTGCAACCAGGATTTTCCATAGAATTATTAAACTCATTTTTTTTTTTTTTTTTTTACTCTTGAGGCCAAACTGTACCTTTAGGGTCATGATTATTTATAAAAGTTAGGGAGGATGTTAAAGTTGATCCCATCAGAATTTGGTCATCCTGTTTAATTATCCATCTTCTATTAAAGTTAATGCCAACTATAATATTTGTAACCCTTTTTTTCTCTCTTCAGCAACTTTAGTCAACAAGTCATGGGCTTCCTGTCTACTCTCGACTGCTAATGGCCTTGAGTAATTTTTATTATCTTGATGATAAATTCAGAAGAATTTATCAAAACACTCTTCCAATGTCTTTCAATTATAGATTCTCTCAGCTACCATAAACCCTATCATCCCTGAGAACAGACACGTTATGAAGATCTTGTAGTTTGAAATTGCCTTCTCACAATTATGTCCTCTTTTTCTGATTCTACTGTACCTTTGCTTCCACTGATTTATTTTTTTCTTAATTTCTTCTGAGACTTCTATTTTTCCTGGCATTTCCCTCCATGGTTTTTCCTACCTTGCTTCCCCATTTCTCTTGCCTGCTCTAGATTCCCCAGACATCCCTTTTAGCATTGATTTGCCCTTCTTTTGTGTACTGCACCCAACCTGTGCTATCTGGACTTAGCCTCCTAGACTACTAACTGAGTTTATGAAAACCAAGTGGCTGCTTGTTAGTTCTTTCACTTTTAGGTCAAACATTTAAAATTTCCTAAAATAGCCAGAACTTTTCTCTCTTCAAGTCACTGTTCCTTTGTCAATTTCCACACTCTGACAAGACATGCCTCCTCTTTTACTCAGAAGAATGAGTCAAACTGACATAAATTTTGTCAAGTCCCCATTTCTGTACTTTGTCTTTCTAAGCTTCTAGAAATATTTAAGTATCTAACATTCTCAGGTATTTTAACTGGTATTCAGAAATAAAGATGAATGCTCTAAGGAGCTCACGGTCCATTATGGGAAATAGACAAAAAAATAAATCACTATAGATTGAGGTATATGTTTATAACAAAGAGGAAATGCATGTTGTTAGAGCACAGAGGTGAGAATATTTGAATCTCCATGAAATGTTATAAGTTAAGGGAATGGTAAGAAATCTTCTGTGGCTATATTACCTTGTTCAGGATGGGTAGGCAGGTTTTCATTTGTTTGTTCTTTTACTGTGATGATGATCAATTAACTCTTCGTACACACATTCCTTTTTTTTTTTTTTTTTTGACAGGCCATGGGGCATTGAGAATGGGAGAAAAATAGTCCTTCTCTCAATGAACCACTAGTAGTGTCAACTCAACTCTATTTTTCTATTTCATCTTTTTTATTTAGTGGGATGGTGCTCCCTGTCAAAGATTCTTCATCTCTCTTAATAACCTTATATTCCTTTTGATAAGAGTCTCTTTAACTTGGAAGGCCATGATGACATGTACTTTTTTTTTTTTCACATATGATCCTAGAAGCTTTATTCTTGATAGCCCTGCACTAGAAACAATCCAAATGTCCAACAGGAAGTAAATAAGTATGCAAATTGTGGTATTATCGTGTGTGCAATGGAATACTACCCAGTAATGAAAAGGAATCAACTACTGCTACATGAACTAACATGAATGAATCTCAAAACGCTATGCTAAGTGATAAGAGGGAAACAAAGACTATACACAGAATGATTCCATCTGTTTAAAATGCTAGAAAAGACAAATTTAATCTTTAGTGACCGAAAGCAGAAAGTGGAGATTTGATGGCATTTACTTTTTAATCACCTATCTTCCCTTTGTATGCTATTAGAATAGGGGAAATATGTGCTTGAGACCAGAATGATCTTTACTAATGGAACTTGTGAGAAGAAATAAGTACATCATATTTATGAGCGTATTTGTTGTCTTAGCTGATACTTGAAAGTGTATTTTTGTGTTTAGGCCTATGTAGGATACAACAATCAAACTTGGAGCTAAAATTAGCAGAGCTAATGTGAGGGTGTAAAAGGTTTTCATCTTTGATCATTAGATGAATATGACAGATATATTATAAAGATCAACTCAATTGTGCTTTTCGGAACTGAGAAGGTAGATGTAGCTGTGAATTCTGCTTCTGAAGTGCCTCTCTTCAATGCTGTGATGTCCATTTGGTTACATTTGGGTCAAACCAAATAATTCCTCTCACCATTTTACTGTATGATATACTGGTAATATGGCTATTTTCTTCTGAGCACATTAATATGATTAGATTTTACAATGTTTAAAAGAATGTGGATGAAATGACTTAGATTTATTTTCAAGGAATAATTTGAATGTACTCTCCCTCTTATATTTAGGTTTAAAACATTATTTGTGGCTGGAGAACGATGTGATGTGGAGACCCTGGAATGGTCCAAAAAGGTCTTCAGAGTGCCCGTCCTAGACCACTGGTGGCAAACTGGTGAGCGTTTTCCATGCACGTAGATCAATATTGCAGAAATGGCTCAAAACCTGCCAAGAACTGGAGGAAATTGTGAACTCTGATCATAGGCACAAGCTCAGGATTCAGGTGGCCCTGGTTACAGTAGAAATAAGCAAGAATTGATTATCCTATTGTTAAAAACATATTCCTAAATGACATGGATGCCACCATTCTCTTGGTCTCTAGGTATAAAGCACTGAAGACGTCTTTTGGTTCTCCTCTTTGTTTGCTCTATCCAGTAAGTTACTAAATCTCAGGTTTTCCTTTGAAGTGTCTGTTGGATTCATCTTACCCTCAGAGCTCCCATTGCCTTTGAGCTGTGGCAGCCTCATTATCATTTGCCCTGATTTAAATTATCCTCATCACTCATCTCTGTTCTGTCTGCTTTTCTCTACACCCTGCACGCTGCTCCAACAGTAATTTTTTTTCAAGCACTGTGTTCCTCATAGGATTTCTTGTGGTTCTCTGGCTCTCTTCTTGTGTTCTATAAAATGGAATCTTCTGCCTAGCATTCAAGGCAGAAAAATATGTTTTCCCCCTCCAAAACACACACACACACACACACACACACACACACACACATTCATTTACTTCTTTGTTTTCCTCCCACTAAGTGATTCTTGGGAAACAACTTGTTATATTACATAATAGAGTATGAACTTTGGTACAAAAAACAAAACAAAACAGGACAAAACCCCTTCTCCTGCTTGTTTTAAGGGATGATGTTGTATATATGTGAAAGTAAGTGGATTATCTAGAATCTGTTTTCCTCCTCACAATGTGTAGGGATTTTGTTGGGTTTTCCTCTGAACCACTGAAAATAGCTATGAGCTATGAGAGCCTTGTGCCTTCACATCCATATTTCAGTTCATTTCTACTTAGATCAACAAATCAGATTTAGCCTTTTATATTAGTGTCATCTGAATTCCCATCTTCTGAACAACTGGGGCATAGTATCAAATTTGGATTAAAAAATTAATAAAGTTTCTTTGCAAAAATTAGGTGTGATTTTTAAAATGGTTAAAATCTAGAACAAGTGAATGACTAAAACTTAAATTTAGTGTTTGCTAGGTAGAACACTTTGATTCTGATAATTTATACTTTTTGTATTTTCTTCTTGGATATTGCTCTTTGGTAAAGTGTGTTTTCTATATGCGCTGTAATATAAAACATAAAATAAATTATCAGAGCAGAATATATGTTTTTTAAATAAGATTAAAATAAAAAAGAGTTTCCATTCCCTTTAGTTTCATTTGCTAAGGGAGAAATTTCTAATTTAAGTTTGGATTTGTAACTATTTAGGAGATAAGACTGAATTGGGAGAAAGAGCAATGCTATGTTTAGAAATACATAAAAGCAAGTAAAGAATTATTGCCTCTGCAAGGAAGTGTATTTATAGAATTGATGCATGCCCTATTCACCAGGAAAGTTCTAACAGTTATTTCTTGAGCAGAAAGATAAAAATATTGTGTCGACTTTGAGGTGGTTTTCCTTTCCTGGTCAAAATGGAAAGGTTGTTTTCAAAAAAGAAGTGACCTTGCAAAAGAGTTTTGGTTTTGCCTTCTTAAAGGTGACTATGCCGAAGCTTGTTGAGGGAAGCCAACACATTAATAAATAAAATTATGATTCTTTTACTTGCTGTTGATATATTTGTGCATAACAGCCTGTGCAGATGTATGTAGTTAGTGCATTCAGGCTTACAAAAATGCTCACTGAATCTTGAGAAACAAGTATATGAGGTCCCTGGTGGGTACTGAGTTTCATGTGAATTCAAAATTTTTCTTTAATGTAATGTTGAGAGGGAATTAATAGCCACATTATGTCAGTGTGCTGTCACTTTAATCAGGTTTGAATGGCTGCTCATTACTGTGGAAAGCATACTGGATTTCTACTAACAATGACAAATTCTTTCCATCCCCTCCCCCCAATTCAATTGTATAGATTTTGATATTGTATCCAGTGACAGTACACAAATGTGTGCATATGTATACGTAGGTAGGTAGACAGCTAGCTACCTAGGTAGTTTTGTACTTTATAAAAGAAATTCGTCCTTGGGGATGCATATGTCAGCTACTAGCAAAAATCTAGTTAGAATCTTTGTTCATTTGCATAGAAGAAGTCAATTCATTATTTTCAATATTGTATGTTGTGGTAATTGTGAAGTGATACTGAAGTTTAACATTTGCAGTCCTTCACCTTTCTCAAGGTAATATCAAATTTATCTTAAGGTGATATCAAATTAATGTTAAATCACCAGGGGAAAAAAGACAAGTACTTTGTAGGTTATTTTTAATGCTTAGGAAAAACAAAGAAAAGTTCAATATTTCTAGCATATTCATGAATTTCCTAATGTTTTACGTATCAAATAAATGTGTAACACTTCCCTTAAGAGACATACCAGTAAAAATTGGATTAACAGCTGAGGAAATGTTAAACTTTGACCAAAGGAACACTTTTCTGTATTTCAAATTTCAAGTTTTCTACAAAGTCTCTCTTGTTATTGATTTAGAAATTGATTTTTTTAAATACAATTGCATACTTTTATGAGCCTTCCATACATTATATGATTTATGGATTTTTCTCTCTGGTTACATTAATATATGTGTACACACAAGCTGTTTAGACATTGTGGTGTATAATTAGCATTAGTAAGGAATATGGTAAGTGACTAAAATGTATGAATAAAAATTGATTTGTTCCTGTGACTTGGGTTATAAGAAGGGACACTGCAGTCAATCCATGTTATGACCATATTGGTTTTGTTACACAAGTGAAATTTGTATTTGTAACAACAGCCTTCCAGTGGCTGACATCCTCTTTTGGCCCATTAATATTAACTTTGATGTCTGAGTTGAATAGTATCTAAGATTCTAAATTGAGAACTAACCTCAATTGTGGGAAATTCAAGGACAGATCAATTCCTCATAGGAGCATTTTAATAAGGAGTTATCCCTGTTCTACACCACTGAAGCATTAAGCCTTTGTTTGGAATTGTAATAAATGTAAACATTTAGTGCTCTCAGGAAGGAAAGTGTCTTGCTAAGTTGAGTTAGGCAGATTGTAGCCATGTGACTCATAAATCTGGATAAAACATGAATTGTCATTCACCCAGATGTCTTATCTTCACAGTAACTTAGCCATAAGATAATTGAAAACATCTGGATGATTGATAGACTTTTTTTAGTTTCTTTTTTACATGGAGATAGAGAAACAGAGATGCTACAATCATAATTTAATAAGGGAAAATTAAGATAATAGATAATTTTTCTATTAAGATATGGTATTTCATGTGCAAAAATTAAACAGAACGTCATTATCCTGAGGTATACGATCACTAGATAATACACTGTACTGTTATAGATAATTTCAGTACTCAGAGAGGCTTTTTCAGAAATCAGATAGGGAGCACAATTTTAGAAAGAAAGAACTGTCAGTTTAGATGCATAGTGTCCTTTGTAAGAATTTTTTTCTGATTTAAGATGACTGGAAATGAATTGTTTATTTTATGAGTGAATGACCAAGTACAAAAAACAAAAGATTCCTTAAATCTCAGAGACTAACTACTAAAATGTAAACACAGTAGAACTTATTCCTTTTTGATATTTCTTTCTTTTAATCCTCTCCTTCCTTCCTCCCTCCCTCCCTCCCTCCCTCCGCCCCTTTCCTTCCTTTTCTACCTATTTATTATATGATATTGTACTGGTTTAGAAATAGTTGCAACAAAACAGCTTGACGTCCCACTTTTTAATGTTATTTAATCCTAGGTAGAAACACTTTATTCTTTCACTTGCTATCAGTTAGTTAATTAAAGACAATGGCTACAAAGTTAGAATATTTAAGTTCCACAATGCCTTTGATGAGGGACAACTTGGTAAAGGGTTTAGATCAAAAGAATCCAGGATTCTTTCCACCTGCTGGCAGGACATACTGTGTGGTTCTTGTCAGAAGATACAGAGCTTACGTTGAAAGTGCTTTAAGTGTCCTTCCCAGGTAGTGAAGAAGTCATTGAAATGACCTAATAACCACCAACCTGAGCAGCTCTGTGTGATTTTGCTGTTGGTTTATTTGTTTTGTTTCCATCACTTCAATGGAGGACTAAAATTCTTCACGTAATTTTTCCAACCCTAAGGAGGGATTTCAATGAGAAAACTTGGTAACCTAATGGATTGAGACATTGGTGACGTAGAAGATATTGATCTTACTTTATCTGCCTTGAGCCTTCTTTGCTGCATTCTTATATCTTGGAGTAATCACAGTATCCCTCTCCCTGTTTGATTGAACTGCTGCGGTTTTAATTGCAATTGCCGGTTCTGAAGTAACTACAATATTTTCTGTTTATAGCCTAAATTCTCCTCCGTTGAGGAGGAATCTGATAATTCTGGATTTTATTAAAGTGGACCCAAAGGCTCCAGCAAATTCAGTCATGCCAATTTTTAAATCAAAATCATTGATCCTAAAAGCACATACATCCTAAAACCATGTTATTAAAATGTGTCAAATCTCCTTGACATGATAATCTTTATTTTTGCCGTTTGGTAGGATGTATTTCCAGAGAAGGGACAACTGGAACAGTAGTTTTAACTATTGGTTAAAAATTGGTTAAGCTGACCCAATTCACCTTACCCTTAGGTTTATCTGGAAAAGATCTATTGGCTCAGGATTTTTAAAAGACAGTGATACATTTAATTTTTAAGAATCAAAACCACAAAATGGAATCATTAATTATAGTTTAATAACAGTTATCCTAAGCAGAGATCTCTATGGGAAATGATACGGACTCAAATACAGTACCGTCATCACTCCTAAGTAGACTAATTGTAAACAGTTAACCTGGATTTGAGAATTTGATAGCTAGGGTATCAAAGTTTAAACCAGTTTTTTGTTTTGTTTTGTTTTTTATTTTTGTTTGTTTATTTGTTTGTTTGTTTTGTTTTTTATCCTCCTGGTCCTTTGTTACCATTGCATTCTCTGACATTCCA